TATTTTTAATAAAAGCTTCGGTTTCAATAACCGAGAGTAAAATTTCCAACTCTGTGGAAAAATCGCCAGAGCGGAGAGCATTAAATTGGAAAAAATTGCAATACGCGAGTGTAGGCAGTGTAACGCGTGAAATCCGCGCAGGAAGGAAATTAGTAGAGAAAATACGATAGGGATGGGCGAGAGGATGACGACGAAAGGGTGGGTTTGGGTCGCGGTATCGACCGGCCCGGGTATTTTGCAACGCTTTTTCGCGGATGTACTCGTTAAACCGATAAATGAATAATGAGCAGACTATACGGGGTTGAACATGGCGCGAGCCACTGGGAGCGGTTGGCGAAACGGAAGCGGGGGGGTTGGGAACGGACGCGGGGGAGAGAGGAGGCAGACGCAACGAGTCGAACGCAAAACAACGAAATCGAATCACTCTCGGTGGCCGCCGGTACTTTTCATGCGTGAATTTTCCGACTGCTCGACGCGTAACTGCAGCTGCCAGTAATAGCTTTAGCAAAATCGAGAGTAATGCCTGAAAACATTTACAATACGCGCCGGTTGCCGCGAATAAAAACGCGTTGATCGTTTAACGGTGATAATACGCGCACCACGTACAACGGTAACAACCAACAACCAACAACCAACAATGGTAGCTACCAGATAAAGGAAGAAACAACAACCAGTCGCAACGCGTTGAAATGATTGAATGAAAATTCAATGCAGACAGGAGACTAGTCGTAACGATCGTAATAAACGTCCGTAAAAAGGCTACTCGAAAATACTGCCTTGCTATACTTCCGTTCTGAAAGCGATGAAATAAATTTTGCACTGGGAAGAGGACTTCAAAACCTTGCATGTTCACTTTAAACTAGATCTTATATAGAATCCAATCAGCTTTTTCTATAACAAAATAATCAATTTTGTAGGACAATTAATGCTTGCGATGAATTTCGAAATGGTTTCATGAACTCTTAAATCTACCCCTAAATCAGTATTCTTATTATTTTGCTTTTAAATTCGAGGTTTTATCGGGTTCGCGTTACTTGGATAAAGGTATGCATCAGTTAGGAACGGTCTGCGTTCGCTTTAGCATCCGCTTTTACTGTAACGTACGGAGAAACCGATCATCGAGCATTCCGTTGTAATGAGCGTGCGTTTGGCACGAGCATCGATGCGAGACCAGTGATTCGAGACGACAATTATCGTACAGGTATATAACAGGAAAACGTAACAGGTCGACTGCGGTCTGATGGATGATGATGATGACGGTAATTGTCGGGAATTACCCGACGTTAATTACATCGAAGCGAAATCGAGCGCGTTTACACCGCCATTTGCAGACACTTACCAGACTGACCAACAGCCCGACCACGTTAATACACGCCCGATAAATTCGATTCGAAACGTATGTACATACATACGTCCGCGCGTTTCCCCATCCGATATGCGTATATATTTTACCCTCTCGCGTCGTCGGAGCTGTTACTCAGCTAACCCCACGCGTCAGTCCCTTGCTCGCGAGCTATTCTCGTCTCTCGCTCTCACTGCCAATTGTCCTATTCTTCTTGCTTCTTTCTCCCCATTTTTTTTGGTTCGTTCTTTTTCCACGTGAACGACAACACCAGACTCGTCATAAATGCGAACGATTAGATTCATAGCCTCGAGTGTAGCGAGCGCGAGGGGGCGAAACCGCTGGCTTCCCTTTTATAAACGTGATCGGGCGTGAAATTACGCCACAAAAATACGATCGTGTTAACAATTTCTCACACATCCGATATCACACTTCTCGTAAAGGGATATAGTCTATTTCTTTCAGAAACTGTTATAAATGTCAATTTCTTTGGTTTTCGTTTCATTTAAATGGTTTCAATAAATTGGTTGAGAAGTTAATACAGTGTTGCGTCTAACAAAATTGTATTGCACCCTTTCTACCTCAAAGAATTCATCCCTTTAACTTTTTGCACTCTAAAATGTTATCCTCCCCTTGAACCATCAAACCAGTATGCAAGAATATAACTTTACAAATCTATTTTTAAATTGTCTCGTTACACTTGGCACTATGCTCATGTTTCTTTTCTCACTTTTCTCCTTTATTTTGTCTTGCGAGATTCACCACGAGAGGGTTTCCCTCGAACACGAAGCCCGATTTACGATTTGAAGGGTGCATCCGGCCGGAGCGAGAAGAGACGAGTTATGCTGGAACGAAGAGGGAAGAACACCGCCGGAAGCAAAGGAAATAGCGGGAGCCCGGCTGCTAAATATTCAATAAACGCGGGCATTATTCCTGGCACGTCGACGCGGAAGCTGGCTTACGGAACGAGTTCAGGTGAAGCAGCCGAGGCGAGAAAAATCGTGAGCAAGGTGAAAGAGCGAACGGGTTACGCGATAGAAAGAAAATGCGAACAGAGGAAATAACCATTTATCCTCGGTGAGTATTCTCGATCAAGATTCCCAGAGATGTACGTGCTGAGGATAGATACAAGGCCTTTCAAAAGCTTCTCCCCCTCGTATAGTTTCTATTCAATGTTTTATTTTGAATAAAATTTCACTTATAAAAGAAAACAATTAATTGATCAGTTCTCTATATTTAAAAACAATTTTTCACGTTTGAATTGATATCTTAAATTCAAGTTACCATGATACATTCGAAGAGTGAAATATGCAATATAAATATTCTTCAACATAATTGATAAAACAGAATGTAAGAAAAATTTTAGTTACATACGTATTTTAGTTACATACGTATTTCGAGGTATTAACTTTTGAACGGCAGTATATCACGTTTCGCCGCATCAGACCGTTTCTCCGGTATTTCCTTTTATACAATCGAGAAAACCTGTTTGCCTGTATAGCACCTGTACATCACAGAAACCGTGCAAGAACCGTGTGCGAGTTCCGAACGTAAAGAAGTGTTTCCTGTTAAAAGATCGACAACGAAGTTCGCGGTCTCTCGGCTGTTTCGATAAATTTTCATGATCGGTGCCTCGTAAACGAATCTTCTGCGTAAAAACAGACAAAGACGTGTACGGTAATTGACGACGTTTAATGCCCGGAATGCCATAAAAGCGAGCGCGAAATGAAATACGACGGTTTCTCGGCGTACCAACAACCGCTTTTGGTTCGCCAACAAATTATACCGGCGCGACGAACGACGCTGTTTTTCTCTCTCCTTATTCTTGAAAAAGGGAGGAACGGTTACAGAGGGTGGAGAGGAATAGGACTGCTTGAAAGGAGAGAAAAATCGGGATATTTACAATGGCGGTCACGATCGAGCGACGAGAAAACGGGAAATTCAAATCGGCCGATTGTCGCGATGAATATGGATGGCTGGGGGGGTCGGCGCAAGAAAAACACGGCGAGGAGGATCTTTGTGATGCAAATTTCGCGACGGTACTTGCCTTTATTAATATCGAAAATGTGTTTTCGACGGGAAGCACCGCCGTCGCCCTCCACCGTAAAAAAGAGAGTCCATTACATTTTTCTCCTCTCTCTTTTTCCTTCACCCCTGGATTAATTCCCGATATTAAACGAGCCACTTCCGATTCTATTTCTGCCTGTTTACCCGGTAAACAGATTGCTAAGGAACCATTAAGAGGAAATAGAGACTATTAGGCGAACGCAAAATTTTGTTTCAAGTGCGAATAGGAACATTCAGATTTCTGTTTAATTTTACGGATATCTATTTGTACTCATGTACTAATTTTCTTCAAAATACTTGAAACTATTTCGGATTCTATTAGTATTATATTATAGAGTACAATAGAAAACACATACCTTGTGCCATTATTCTGTTTATCAATAAATGTTGTTAATGTTAAGATAAAATGACGTAATCGTAGTAATAAAGAAATAAAGAAGGGATGAAATGCACCTTTGAATAAGGCCAGCGACAAACTCTTTGCAAGATTAAACACGTTTTATCCAATTAAAATACAAGAAGTTAATCTGCATTTAATCCTTTAAATCAATTTTAAAAAATCCACTTACACTAATATACTTTGTCGCTTCTAGTGACACGTCCGCCCACGCACGAAACCAAACAAGCACCCCAGGGGCGCGGAAATACGCTCAATAATTCGTAATAAAGTCGGTGTGCCTGCTGGTTTTTTTTCCAGACCCGAAGTCGCTGAGAAGAAGTCGTCCCCCGCGCGATTTGCATGTTATTACCTCGCTTACATATTTATTCAATAGCCAGAGGGTTTCCAGGGAATCATATCTCTTCATCCCTCTCCACCTTTCTCTCTCCAGTACGTCTCCTCTTCCTTTAATTTCAGATTAAGGGTCACGCGTGCGAAACTGAACGATTAGTAAGTCGCCGCACGGACATTGCTCGCTCCAATCCGCGCGAGCGTTTACGCGTCATGAATGAAAACATAAATTTCAGCCGGAACACGTCGAACTATCGCGTGTTAAGTCAACGAAGTAATTACTACATAATAAATATACCTGAGCTACCGGTACACGTGCAAGTACGACACGCTCACACCATCCACATAATCATGTATACATATGCGATTACTCATACAATATCGTGCAAAAATTCTAAGCTATTTACTAGAAAGAAAATGTTTTATTACTTATATACATATTAGCATTTTAATTACTTTTTATTGGATACTGTTTTCATCTTCATTTATTTGTTCAATTATTAATACGTTTTGATTAACGGAAAATATACTGATTGGTTCAGAATTTTAATTAATGCCTTCCTAATATATATTTTAATGTCTCATTTAAATATGACTATAAATATGCGATAATTACTGTTGGACGCAATAAAGTTTGCGAAATTTGAATACAATCTATAATTAATTCATAGTAATTAGTTCATATAAGAATTTGAAAAGCTTTTTAAATCCGATGAATTCTTAAACGACTAGTAAAATTACTCTGTACATACAATTACGAGCGCGGCAACAGTTGTTTAAAGATTTTGCACGGTACTGTACACGCAATTCACGACTACTATCGATGACGTTCATTTGAAATTCAAATTCATAAAGACTTACCTGTTTATGCATTTCCACGTTCAGCCCGTAGGACATCTCGTAGTACTGGAAGAATAAAAAAAACGCACGATATATTAGACGTGAGAGATATAAAGTGGCGAAAGGGGCGATGGATGCAAGTATTAGAGAGAAGCGTGCAGGTACAAGCATTAACGCGATGCTTATGTAGCGATATAATACGCCAGCGGCGAACATAAAAGCCCGTGTTCTTCTCTCTCATTTACTCTTTCGTGCGCATTAAGCACGCGGGAGACGTGAGTAACATGCATCCGCGAAAACTGCTTGGAAACGATGATTCGCGCAATCAAATAGCAAAATGAAGATTGCGTAATGTTATTTATATGACTATAAATATGCGATAATTACTGTTGGACGCAATAAAGTTTGCGAAATTTGAATACAATCTATAATTAATTCATAGTAATTAGTTCATATAAGAATTTGAAAAGCTTTTTAAATCCGATGAATTCTTAAACGACTAGTAAAATTACTCTGTACATACAATTACGAGCGCGGCAACAGTTGTTTAAAGATTTTGCACGGTACTGTACACGCAATTCACGACTACTATCGATGACGTTCATTTGAAATTCAAATTCATAAAGACTTACCTGTTTATGCATTTCCACGTTCAGCCCGTAGGACATCTCGTAGTACTGGAAGAATAAAAAAAACGCACGATATATTAGACGTGAGAGATATAAAGTGGCGAAAGGGGCGATGGATGCAAGTATTAGAGAGAAGCGTGCAGGTACAAGCATTAACGCGATGCTTATGTAGCGATATAATACGCCAGCGGCGAACATAAAAGCCCGTGTTCTTCTCTCTCATTTACTCTTTCGTGCGCATTAAGCACGCGGGAGACGTGAGTAACATGCATCCGCGAAAACTGCTTGGAAACGATGATTCGCGCAATCAAATAGCAAAATGAAGATTGCGTAATGTTATTTAAACGCACGCCAGATGTCTCGCGTGTTTTATTAACTACTTCTGTTTCCTTTAACCACCTGAGTCACGAATTTTCATAGACACGTTCACGAAATACAAATACCACGTGTGTACATTAATATCCAAAATTATGGAAAAAGTAATTTGAACAAGATGTGACCACAGAGTCCTGGCTGTGGTTCGAAAGGTTAAACCGACCACTTTCATATTTCATCATTTAATAATATCATGAAACTGTTATTCTTTATACACGAAAATGAATCTAACTTAAGCTCTAGGCTTAACCCTTTCGCTACGGACACCGACTATAGTCGGCGACCGCGCGACGTGCTGTGAGTACGGGTGCCGACTATAATCGGCGTCCGAATATCTTTTGAATCTAATAGCTCGTACTGAACTAAATCCTGCATATTTTACATACGAAATAAGAATCTTCAATTTTTTTCTATTGGATGGTAAATAAACAATACNATATTGATATAAAACGAACTTCATAAAAAATATTGTCTTAATAAAAGAACACATGATGGTTTCCAAAGTGTCACGTCGGCTGACTTGCAAATGTTCCGCGCGTAACATGTTATACTTTTTGGAATGCACCATGACTAAAGAATTAATTGCTTCCGACAGCAGTGATTTACATACTGCCGCTTATGTATGTACATCCATCTATTGAAAGGGTATAGAAAGTCTTGGTCCGGGACGATCGAAATAAAACGAATTGATAGCAAGAGTCGGGGGATAAATTATTCGCCAACATCTCGAACCGAAGAATAAACTTCTAGCCGGCAGAAGTAGCAGATTCGAATGTACTCACAGCCTCTATCTTTATTTTTATTATATTATATATTACTTCATTATTTATATTTATTTTATATATACATTATTTATATTTATTATATTATATAGTACTTTATTAAAATAATTACGATTAACCGTGATGCACCGTTCAGATCAATTTGATGTTTATTATATTGTATTGATCGATAAAGAGAAAAGATTGAGGTAAAGAACGAAGAGGAAAGAAGATAGGAGCGTACTGGGTTAAATCAAGCAGAAGGGTTCCCAAGGGCTAATCGAATTATCGAGTTACCTAAACCGAGATGCTGCTCGAATTCGTAATAACGTCTAAAAGAACCCTTTGTCGATGATTTTTAGGGTTCGAAGTACATGGCTTCCGAGAGCAACTAAGAGAGATTACATCGATCGAACAAGATTACGAAAAGCGGACCAAATTGAGCCATAATGTGAGATCCTGCCGGTCAAAAAGGATAAACGCGCGTAGAAAATGAGAAAAACGACCACGGACGAATAGTCTCTGACCTACCAACCCCTCCTCACAATAATATCTGTGTGCGTAAGAAGGTACACGCGTGTCCTGTGCGTGAACCATGTACGGTACGGGTATGCGACGTCCAAGACCGGTTTCTCGTAACAACGTTTCTACATCGTGTGTACAAGATCTCAGACCGGATATCCTTTAACTAATTCATCCATCGAACCGACGGTTCTCAACTTCCCTTTGCAAATTCGCTTGACAGAGAATGAGAAGCGAAACGATAGAAATCTACGTTTAATAGAATTAAAGAGTATTTTTATTCCAGTTTCTCATACATAAAAGCACTAAGCAGACAGAAGGACGTTAGTACTAATTTTCTCGTAAATTTGAGAATTTTATTTCAATTTTAGAACAACAAAGATCGTACGACATTACATATTATTTCAATGATCTGTAAACGTACTGCTTCAAATATTCAAGAACTGGCGAGAGACTAAAAGCACGGAAAAATCCATGGAACGTATAATACAAGAGAACTGTTTGGAACGTTCCCTTCGATATGCATCTTTCAACAGTAGCGATAGAAAAGCACCATTCAGGGATTTATATTTTTCTATTTTAACGAGCGGTACATGATCAAAATGTGTTCGCTAGTCTGAAGCATTGAACAAAATTTTCAATATAAGATACCTAGAATTTCTGCAAATCATTGTTTCATTTATTGATCACTATTTTCTTGCAACAAAATCGTTAACTTCAAATATTTCGAATCTTTTATTAGAGGTCTGAAAAGTTTTTCAATGTAACAAAATCACAATCCTCGAATTACAAGCGAAAAACAAAGCATTTTGTAATTTCAACCGGTGTGCAGGACGAAACGCTTCCATTGAGTATTCCATTGAAGCTAACGTATATACAGCCTCGACGGACTTTATTGCTCGAGAATCGTAAACTTCTGTTTTTAATATATCAACGTAATTTCCCGCAGCGGAATTCTTTTCCCGTTCGGCGAGCGTAAAAAGTCGACACTGATATTGAGTTATACCGTCGTTCTGTTGCGAAAGAACGTGGCCGTAAGAGTCAACAAATTTCAAGTTTAATGGTTTGCTTCCGTCGTGATGAAAAACGTAATTGCAACGCGGTTTCGTCTGACACAGCTAAGTTACTCGACTCGATTAATTGAGTGAATGAAATGTGTTTCGCAACCTCCGATTTCACGGTAACTTCGAAACAACGATGTTTAAAATTGATAAGGAAGATTTATTAGTAAAGGTACTTCAATTAGTCCAAGTTGCTTTTACGAGGAACGTTTAAACGAACACAGTTTTGTTATTAATTTCAATGTTTTTAATGAGTTTATCTTCGAGAATGCAACACGTTTTCATTAACATTTCTCGCACCTCAATTAATTACACGATATCGTTCCTCGAATAATAGAAGGGAGAACCCATATAAGCGAGAAGAAGGGGTGGAGGACAAGAAGATCGTCTCTCTAGCAGTAGCTCGACGAAGTAATTAGCCTTTAATTAATAGACTCATCCCCGAGAGTGCCCGATAGCAGGGGTCAGGATCTTAATTATCGTAAGCCTGGAAATGTAACTCGCGGTCTAGACACGCTCAACCCATGCACTATAAAAAAAATAAGGCAATAATAATACATCGTAGATTATTTAATTTATTTATTCCTTAATTTGAGTAAAGCATCTTATAAGTCGTGTTACTTGTCAAAATTCATCGAATAAAACATTTCAAATGAAACAACACTTAAATTCTTAATTCGATAACAATTTCTATTTTCCACGCCAAATATAACCATTTATTTATAATGGACGCAAAATGCCAGCCCGTCGGTAACGCGTAGCTATAGAGAAAAAATTAATAGCACAAGGGTTAATACGAATGAGAGGTGTGTCGCGAACACAAAATTCGGTGCGAGATGATAAAACGGCTTGGTACGGCAATAAACGTCGTTCAACCATTAAACTCGCTCGAATTCGTCGCACACCACCACCCGTTTCCCCTATCCCTCCACCCTCTCTATCCGACCGTTCGTTTGCATTTTCAAATTGAACCAGCTTCACGCCACTATCCGAGAGTTTTATGCCGCATCATCGTGTCCACATTATCGAGTTAAGCCCGGAAATTCAATCTGCGACGATGTCGAAGCGAAATTTTCACTCTCACCCTCTTCCCGCGCCGTCGCTCGCTTCCGCCCCGGAAACCGAGCAGCCAAATCTTGCACGTAACGTGCGGAAAGGACGAACAGAAGATTATTCAATTCGTGTGAAAAAGGAGATTCGTGTGCACGAGATATATCTTATTTGAAGCAGGGCAGCGGGGTAGAAAAAGTAGGAATTATCTGAAACGAACCGAGGAAACTCCGGATCGTGTGCTGTGCTAGCCTGAACCCTCGAATCGCATAATCCCTATGGGTCTTGGAAATGAGTCGGCGTGGTACTTTCATTCTCGAATAAACGACCGATATCGATCGCGATCGATATCTGCACCGTGACGAGATATGCAAGACTAATGGACACCTCGTTTCGGCTCTCTCTCTTTCTCTCTCTCTCTCTCTCCTCCCGTTGTCTCGTCCCTTTCACGAGCTCTTATCCCCCTTTATATCTTTCCTCAATGGGAACCAGCCCCTGTTGTGAACACCCTTACATAAAATACTTCTGTCCTGCTCTATCACATTGTTCTTCTCTACGAATTGCAAATTTTGCCCTCGATTTGATCCCACTCTGCAGTCCGCCTCTGTCTTTCTCGACCTTTCCCTCTCGCTCTTTGATTTAATCAAGGAAAACACTTGAAACCACGA